CGTTATCGCTAATCCTGCCTTTAAACCCTCGGTTATTGATCCCTCATATACTCTGGCAGTGGTGTTGTTCCACAATTACCTAAATATGCACTCTCTCCCGAGTTATGCATACTAAATAGGCACAGCTAATTGAGGATCCTATCAATTAAATATAATCAGAACGTAGTTGACACAAATAGAGATTAAACCGAGCAATCTATATTAACATAACAAGAAGTGCATCCTTCAATAGGTTCCATCAAAACCTTAGACTAAATATTTAGCTACTCATACTAGTGTTCATCATAACAATAGCCAAATTCATCACAAATGGTAAAATACAAAAGGAAGAAATGAAGAAGTCTATGTTGAAGTCTCCTCCTTGCCTCTTGCTTCTCCTTCCTTGAACTCAGCTATCCAGATCTTGATAATCCTCCTTTGGGCGAGCTGGACCACTTTTTAGGTTTTGTGGAATTTCCCTCGAACTTCCAAGTTTACTCATAAAATTCATTTTTCCGGAGCTGGACTAGCGCAGTCGCGCTAGTGGGCGCGCTAATGACCGCGCATATGGCCTACCAGTTTGCCTCAAATTCCTAGGCTAGCGCGGTCGCGCTAGTCTGGGTCCTCATTTCAGCCCTTCTTTCTCTCTTCTTCCCACGTACTCAGCTCCGAGGGGCTTCCCTTGCTTCAATCTAGATCCAATTACAGTTCTAAGTCCTCACACGCGTACTCGCTCCTGCAAAACATGAAATTCACAATAGAGCCAATTTACCATCATTTAACTATCCTACAATAGTCAAACCTAGTCAAGCTACGCATAAACAGTTGACAAATTACATAAATCTAGCCTATTATCAACACCCCACACTTAAATCATTGCTAGTCCTCGAGCAATCCATCACACTCTATAAAGGTCGCTTCGCTAAGTCTTTTCCCCTAACGTATCACACCAAGAACAAATCACCAAAGTTACGCCTAGTAGTGAAAATCTTTGCCTCAAAAGTCGACTCTTGCGTGCCGTGCAAATTCGTACTTACTCAAATTACTCTATACATTAGTCAAAACTTACATTTCCTTCGTGAATTACATGCCCTTACATCACACAAGAGAGTAGTTCTGCACATATTAATATTAAGAACAATTAAGAACTTCGATGAAGAGAATCCGCTCACTCTCAAAAAGAACATTCACATGCCATAAAGATGCACCATAGGCTTGCCCGTAGTGTACTACTCTACTAATCGAGCCCATTCAGTCGAAGATCAATTAGGACTTCACTTGGTTGTAATGTAGGCTAAGGGACGGGTAGGATATATTTGGATATAGTGACTAACCTCCCTAAGCACTTTTATACAATCACATTAACCTTTAAAACCATACTTATGTCAACCAGAGTCCAGACATTCCACCACATTTTCATTTATAACATCTCATTCTATTAGGTGCAATTGTATCAAATCACCACTTATCTAACTATTACATTTACTATTTAGTGGTGCTTAATCTTTTACTTTTCCAAACAACTACACCCTTCCTCTATTTCATTGGTTCTATTCAAAAACCAAACAACCACCCCACACTTTAGCTTTTGCATATTTCGCTACCATTCAAGTGCTTACAGGAGGTAACGGGATTCAAACAGATGTCCGTAGTGTACTACTCTACTAATCGAGCCCATTCAGTCGAAGATCAATTAGGACTTCACTTGGTTGTAATGTAGGCTAAGGGACGGGTAGGATATATTTGGATATAGTGACTAACCTCCCTAAGCACTTTTAATACAATCACATTAACCTTCAAAACCATACTTATGTCAACAAGAGTCCAGACATTCCACCACATTTTTATTTATAACATCTCATTCCATTAGGTGCAATTGTATCAAATCACCACTTATCAACTATTACATTTACTCTTTAGTGGTGCTTATTCTTTTACTTTTCCAAACAACTGCACCCTTCCTCTATTTCATTGGTTCCACTCAAAAACCAAACCACCACCCCACACTTTAGCTTTTGCATATTTTGCTACCATTCAAGTGCTTAATGGAGGTAACGGGGTTCAAACAGATGTCCATTCAAACAATTGGGCAAGGTTTGCAATGTGGTTGCCAAAGAAACAGGCTTAAAGGCTCAACGGGATTGACTACGATGTATTACATTTGGGTGGGTCTACTTTATATATCTGGCTCAACAAATAAATGCCTATATCACTTCTAGGATTAAATGAAACTACTATTTCGCTTTGCAAACACACAGGGCAAGTTCTGGGCATTGAATGTAAATAATAGAATACAGTACAACTCACACACACATGGCATATGACTCACTCCAGATTGGCTTATCTAGGCACTGTCTTTTGAGTATTCAAGTAAGTTACAAACATATAATTTAAGGCACTTTAGCAAAAATTAACCACTGAGACTAAGTGTTATACTCTAGTGTCTGCTATGTTCAGGTGTATCAATGCCAAGGGTTTCCCTTTTCTATTTCAGCTCGTAGCCCATCAATACTAACTTAAAAGCTAAAATCAAAATAAACAAAAACTACCTACACCCGGTTCAAGATAAACCCTTGCAAAAGAACCGTGGACCAAAGAAAAATCAATGGGGAGTTACGACACTACCTAAAACAAAACAAGAAAAATACGAAATCATTTTGGTATTTTCTTTAGACTTACTTCCATCAAGAAGACTGTCTAAAAGATCCGTCATCAGAAATAGTCCTCCTATTCCTCTTTTACTTACATACCTTAAGCTTACCTAATGTACTATTACTTAAAACACCAAAAACAATCAAGAAGAAACGAAGAGACATTAATCAGTCAAATTGTTACATATACATATATATACATTGAAGTAACCCACACCCCACACTCAAAGTGAAGTCGTGTCCCCATGGCATACAAAATAACGAACAGTGAGGTAAAGGAACTTCCCTGAAAGATCACTCTTGATAGGAGACAATGTCTGGGTTCAAATTGCAAGCACGAACTGCTGCAATTTCCTCATGGGCTTGTGGCTCATCCTCCGCCTCCTCCTGCTCAGCCTCTGCTTCCTCAGAGTTATCAGAATCACCACTAGCATCATCACCTGCTGCCATCAGCTCCTTACTAGTAGTGACCTTGTCAGCTCGGAACTTGTGGTCTCTTGGCACTCTTCCATCAACATCCAAATTTTCTGGCACCCGAACCTCCCGGCAAAGTTTAGTAACCAATGAAGGAAAAAAGAACTCATACCTTTTTATTGGACAACGGGTGAACATCTCCTCATGAATTACTTTGGCCACGTCAAAGTTGTGACCATTAATGAAGCACCAAATCAGAGCCGCTCGAGGGCCATTCACCTCTGAAGTGTTGGAGGACGGGATCAGACGGTTGTTGATAAGATACAACCAGCACTTCCTTTCAAAGGTTAGCACCGAGGAATGAAACTTCCAACCATACTTCATCCAAACAATCTCTTTTCTGGGTACACAAATTGTTTCAAAGAATCGCGCCCACTGCATGTGTGATCGGCCATTTACTTGAGCTTACCTGGGAATAGCCTTAATCTTGAGTTATAAAGCAATACCATGTCCCCGGGGTTGAAATGTTGCTCAACAATATTGTGGTCATGCAACCTCTTCATTCTTTCCTTGTACAACCTTGTGCTTTCAAAAGCTAGATATCGGAACTCGTCGAGCTCATGCAGTTCTGTGATTCTCATTGTGTCCGCAGCCCCAATGTCTAGATTCAGCTGTTTCAGTGCCCACCAAGCTCTATGTTCAAGTTCCACTGGCAAGTGGCAAGTCTTCCCGAACACCAACTTATATGGTGACATACCAATCAATTTTTTAAAAGCAGTTCTATAGGCCTAGAGTGCATCGTCTAACTTTTTTTCCCAATCAGTTCTTGTGGCGTTTACAGTCTTGGTCAATACACTCTTGATCTCTATTAGACACTTCAACCTATCTAATGGTCTGAGGATGATATAGTGTTGCCACCTTGTGGCGAACATCGTACTTTGCCAGCAACTTCTCAAAAGCTCGATTACAGAAGTGAGTGCCTCCGTCATTGATAATAGCTCTTGGGGTCCCAAAACGGGTGAATATGTTCTTCTTAAAAACCCCACCACCACTTTTGCATCATTGGTGGGAAATGCTGCAGCTACCACCCACTTGGACATGTAATCTACAGCAACGAGCATGTACTTATTTCCAAAGGAGCTGATGAAGGGGCCCATGAAATCAATCCTCAAACATCGAACAATTCAACCTCTTGAATTGGGTTCATGGGCATCTCATGGCGACGGGAGATGTTCCTGGTTCATTGAAATTTATTACATCCCTTCACCCATTGGTAATCATCCTTGAACACTATTGACAAATAGAACCCGGCCTCTAGCACTTTTGCGGCTGTCCTGACTCCTCCAAAATGCCCTCCATAAACCGATGCGTGACATGCCTACAAAATCGAAGATTGGTATATCTCGGGGACACACCTCCGGACCATATTGTCAACACATATTTGAAACAGATAATGTTCATTCCAATAATACATGCGGCAGTCACGAAAAAACTTTTTCTTTTGTACAAAGGAAAGGTCATAAGGCACTATACCGCTTGCCAGGTAATTTGAGAAGTCTGCATACCATGTCACTTCCTCAAGACTTGTAGTGAGCAGCTGCTCATCTGGAAAGGTTCTAGAATATCCTTAACCTCAACTACGTTTTCAGCTCCCTCAAGTTGTGATAGATAATCAGCGACTTGTTTTTCTGTGCCCCTACGGTCACGAATTTCGAGGTCGAACTCTTGTAGTAACAGCACCCAACGAATTAAGCGTGGTTTAGACTCCTTATCAATCAAGTACCTAAGAGCTGCATGATTAGTATATACTTTTACCTTAGAGCCAATCAGGTATGACCTGAACTTGTCAAATGCAAACACCACGGCAAGCATCTCATTTTCAGTCACAATGTAGTTTAGTTGGGCTCCACTCAGCGTACTACTGGAATAGTAGATCGGGTGCATTAGCTTGTCTTTCTATTGTCCCAGCACTACCCCCACTGTATAGTCACTAGCGTCACACATAAGTTCGAATGGTTGCTCCCAGTCGGGGGCAATAATGATGGGTACTGTGACTAGCCTCTTTTTTAACTCCTCAAATGCTACCCTGCAATCATTAGAAAATAAGAATGGGTGATATTTTTCTAATAACTTACAGAGAGGGTTTGCAATTTTTGAGAAATCTCTTATGAATCTTCGGTAGAAACTGGCATACCCGAGGAAGCTCCTAATTGCCTTGACTGAAGTGGGGGGAGGTAGCTTTGCTATCACATCAACTTTGGCACGATCAACCTCGATCCTTTTACTTAATACCCGATGCCCAAAGACTATGCCCTCTTGTACCATGAAATGGCACTTCTCCCAATTAAGAACCAGGTTAGTTTCGATACATCGTTTCAGTACACGGGTCAGATTTATAAGGCACTCATCGAATGAGTTTCCCACCACTGAGAAATCATCCATGAATACCTCCATTATGTCTTCTACCATATCAGTAAATATGGTCATCATGCACCTTTGAAATGTGGCGGGTGCATTTCATCGGCCAAAGGGCATCCTTCGAAAAGCATAAATGCCATATGGGCAAGTGAATGAGGTCTTCTCTCTGTCCTCTGGTGCAATGGAGATTTGATTGTACCGTGAGTACCCATCCCGAAAATAGAAGTGAGACCTCCCTGCCAATCTGTCTAGCATCTGATCAATAAAGGGAAGTGGGAAGTGGTCTTTCCGGGTGGCTAGATTTAATTTTCTGTAGTCCATGCAAATTCTCCAGCCTGCGACGGTTCTTGTAGAGATCAGCTCATTGTTATCATTTTTGACCACCGTCATGCCACCCTTCTTAGGAACACATTGCACCGGGCTAACCCAGTTGTTGTCATATATTGGGAAAATGATTCCCGCATCCAACCACTTTATCACTTCTTTCTTCACCACTTCCTTTGTATTGGGGTTCAGCCTTCTTTGGTGATCCCTGGAAGGTTTGTGTCCCTCTTCCAGCAGGATTTTATGCATACAATAGGCTGGGTTGATCCCCTTATTGTCTGTCATGGTCCACCCAATGGCAGTTTTATACTCCTTGAGCACCTGCAAAAGTTGTTGTGCCTGCACATCTAATAAACTAGATGAGATAATAACTGGTAATGTGAAGTTAGGTCCTAGGAACTCATACCTGAGATGGGCGGGCAGTGGCTTTAATTCAAGCTTTGGTGGTTCTTCTATGGATGGTTTGGCTGGAGGAGTTTCTCTATTTTCTAAATGCAGGGGTTCGAATTCCAGAGTTCTATCCCAAAACCCTCTGCCCTCTAAAGCCAGTACCCATTCTGCCAGTTCTTCCCTTTTCACCTCATCCAAATTTACCAGACATGCAGCAAAGGGGTCCTCAATAATTAGCGCCTCATCATCAGCTCCTACGATTACATCCACGGCATCAATAAGAGAACAATTAGCGAATTCACTTGGTCGCCTCATAGATTTCTGTACATTGAATGTTATCTCCTCATCGTTCAGCCTCATCTTGAGCTCCCCAGTCTCACAAACAATGAGAGCTCTCCTAGTGGCCAAGAATGGTCTTCCCAAAATTATGGGAATTTCTTCATCCACCTTGCAATCTAGAATCATAAAATCTACAGGGAACACAAATTTCCCTACTTGGATTAATACATCATCCAGGATACCAGAGGGTATTTTCACAGTCCTATCAGCCAGCTGCAACAACATAGAAGTGGGTCTATCTCTTCCAATCCCTAACCTCTTATAGATCGCCAGGGGCATGAGATTTATGCTAGCCCCCAAATCACAAAGTGCTTTGGTGAAAGCAAAGTTGCCAATGGTGCATGGAATTGTGAAACTTCCTGGGTCAGACAGCTTCTCAGCAATTGGTTTAGTCACCACCGCACTACAGGTCTGCGTAAGAGTCACCGTGGCCAAGTCTTGAAAATCGAATTTTCGGGACATCAAGTCTTTCATCATTTTTTCATAAATAGGTATCTCTTTCAAAGCATCAATCAATGGAATTTTTACTTGGATTTGTTTCAGCATCTCTAAGAATTTCTTGTATTGCTCCTCTTTTTGATATTTGGCCAGCCTCTGTGGGAATGGTGCGGGGGTTCTCTTTTTCCCAATGATGTGGGTATTTTCTTTGTCAGCTACCACCTCAACTACCGGTTCCTAGGCTGTCTGAACATCTTTCTCATCCCTAATCTGGATATCATGTTTTTCCTGGGCAGGTTGTACTGTCACCTCTATCAGTCTCGTTGACTCATCTAACTCAATGGGCACTGGTACAAGTGTCTCAGCCTGTCTGCTTTCTCGAATCCTCACTTGCTCCAATTCTAAGTCTCTGTCATTACGTAGACTCACTGCCATTAGCTGTTTCGGGCCTTGATCTTTTGGATTTATCTGAGTGTCTGCAGGTAGTGTCCCATGAGGATGACTATTCAACGACATCAAAATCTGGCCCATCTGCACTTCAATATTCTTAATAGCTGACTCATGTGCATCTACTCTTTCATTGATTTTTGCATTTGATCCAATAACCTGTTGCACCATTGCCTCGAGTCTAGCAAACCCATCTTCCTGCCTTCCACCATGCTGCTGCTGAGGAGGATGATACCCCTGCTGCTGATTCTGCTTATTATATCCCTGTGGCCTTCGGTAAGGTGCCATATTATTGTGAGGTCTCATACCTCCCATGTTTCCATTGTTGAGCTACGGCTGGACTGGCCTGTATGGAAGATTTTGTTGGCCCCAATTTTGACCACCCTATCTCTAGCCTCCATAATTAGACACATAATTCATGTCCTCATGGTGATGATGATGATCACTTTCTGCATTCCACTGGTTACCAATTGGCTGACTAATGCAAGATGTGCATAAGCCCCCATTGGTAGTATCTACAATGTGTACCTGTTGCTTCTGCCCTTACTCTTCCACCCTTTTGGTGAGTATGCTCATTTGTGTCATTAATGTGGCCATGTTTTCTGCAAGAGTGTTGGATGGATCTAAGGGCACTGAGTGAACTACTAGAGTGATAGGTGCATTCCTGGTTGTCCACCCCGAATTTTGTGTCATCTTATCAAGCAGACTCTGGCTTTCTCTCCAAGTTTTGCTCAAAAATGCTCCACCAGCTGAAGCATCAACATTACCCTTCACGCCATCTGCCAAGCCCATGTAGAACCGCTGCCCCAACATCTGATCTAGAATACCGTGGTGCGGACATATAACCAACACTCCTTTGAATCGTTCCCATGTTTCTTGGAGTGTCTGTCGCGTCCCAAAGTACTCCTAGACGTGATTGGCACCTGGCTAACACCACCTGCTAGGCGAACCATACATTCATACCTTAACCATTAATTTGGAATATTTAGTTAATTATGAGTATCCAAATAATTGGATAGTTAATTATGAATAATTAATATCTCAAATTATTAAATTAAAACTCTAGCAAAAATTCTACACTAGACCATGAAGCATCTAAGAGAATTACAAAAGACATCACATGGATAAATGATAAAGACTCTTTTGGCAGCCTCCACGAATAATGTGGCGGCTCACCTCAATAACTGAATCAACTCCAACGAACTCGTCAGCTATTAGCTCCGTCTTCACCAATGGTATCTGCATAGACATGCAAATAAGGAGTGAGTTATACGTAAATATAACCCAGTAAGATCCTCGACCCGCCACTTTAAATACCTCTAGATAAGTGTTGGAAAATACAAACATACCACAACACGAATGATATAGTAACTATGATAATTATACAATAACTCAATATATGTGTATCAACAAAGTTATTAAGAATTAACCAACAAGGATACCCACTAAGGACTTATCATAATTGCAGTGAAAGAAATATAGCAACACACCACGAGTCCACAACGGCGCCACAATGCCTCAAATATGTAACAGAGCATACACAATGCCCGGGTGATGTACAAAGGCATACACAATGCCCCAACATCATGGTACACAGTCGTATCAAACTCAATATCATGGCGCACAACCGTATCAAACTCGACATCATGGCGCACAATTGTATCAAACTCAACATCATGGCGCACAGCCGTATCAAACTCAATATCATGGCGCACAGCCGTATCAAACTCAACATTATGGCACACAGCCGTATCAAACTCAACATCATGGCGCACAGCCGTATCAAACTCAATATCATGGCGCACAGCCGTATCAAACTCAACATTATGGCACACAGCCGTATCAAACTCAACATCATGGCGCACAGCCGTATCAAACTCAATATCATGGCGCACAGCCGTATCAAACTCAACATTATGGCACACAGCCGTATCAAACTCAACATCATGGCGCACATCCGTATCAAACTCAACATCATGGCGCAGAGCCGTATCAAACTCAATATCATGACCCACAGCCGTATCAAACTCAATATCATGGCGCACAGCCGTATCAAACTCAACATCATGGCGCACAGCCGTATCAAACTCAATATGATGGCGCACAGCTGTATCAAACTACAAAACTCAACCTTATGGCGCACAGCCGTATCACACTATCAAACAATTTATAAAATAATATATTTGCGGCTAGTCTAAGACCACCAATTCTGCCAAGCGCACGCTTCTCCCAACACATGGACCAGGCAGAGAAAATACACTTTGAAAACGGGTTTTAGAGAAACAAGTATCAAAGCATAAAGTCTCACTTACCTTGATAACGACCAGTCCCGCAATTTTGGCGACGTCCAAAACATCGACCAAACGGCCTCCAATGACCGCAACCTATGCAAAATATTGATTAGCATTATCAATCAATTTAGTTGGAGTCATTTTATTTTATTTTGTTTTATTTTTTGGAGTAGGTATATCATAAACTACTAAAACTCCTCATCAGTATGATTAAATCCCCGATCTAACTATATTTCCGAGTTATTCATAGGTCAAGAGTTGAAACCTATAATCAAGTTCTAATCTTAGTGCTAACTGACAGATCAAATCTCATATTTCATAAATTTCAAGCTTCGGTTTAAATGTCTGTATTTTACACCTCAAATACATATTTTAAAGTCAAAACATCATTTAATATCACCATCCGAACTTAATTGGTGAATATTATATCCAACATTTTTGTACTCTTGTGCCAAAATAATATTCCTAGCAAGTATACAATTTTAAAAAAAAAATATAGTACATAACGACCAAAACAGTGGCATTCCCATAGAACTAATACGTTAACCTATATTTCCAATTGCTATAATGATTAATGTCATGATTTCATAATAATTATTCTATTCTAAATCATAGCCATTATAATTACATTCAATCGTAGTATCATCATTAAACTAATTACTTCAACTCAAATTAATATGCAACTGAAGGATAGAATTAGATTAACATATTCATATACCTTATTGTTTATAATTCTCCACACAAGGTCTCCATGTAGTGTAAGTTAATCGAGCCCAAACTACCATTTATTTTCCATCGTATTGCCGCCGTCTGCTTCTCCAAATAGTCCCTCTTTGAGTTGATTTTTTTTCTCCTTATCAAATATCAGTCCTAATGAACTAATATACCTAACTCTTTGTAAGATAATCTCACGTGAGGGTATTAACAAGGTGGGCTTGGCCCACTTATTAAACTTTTAGATAATAGATTAAAATTACTTACTTTTAATTTTCAATTTGCAATGTGCAACAATTATTACCTCTGCACAAATTTAATAGGAAGTTAAAAAAAATTACTTAAAAGTTCACTCTTAAAATTCTAGGCTATTACAATCTCTCTCACTTAAACAATCGTTCGTCCTCGAACGAGTTAGGAAGTGTACATGACATCTCAAACAACTGTGAGTACTTGCTCTGTATATCTATCTCGGACTCCTACGTAGCTTCATGTGTCTGGTGGTTGTACCATAACACTTTCACTAAAGCAACTTTCTTCGACCTTAATTATCGCAGTCTATTAACAGTGGATATTAGACCTTCCTCGTAAGTTAAATCTTCCTCTAGTTTCACTTCTCTAGTTGAAGACTCTTGCTATGAATATATCTTCTAACCACAAACACATGCACATAGGGTATACAGTCAAACCTTTCGAATACAAGGTAACTCTCAATGCCACCAGTACACTTCGACCAGAATCTCATACGAGTCAATATATTTTAAACTTATCTTTTCACTCGATATCAAACTCTTTGCATGGGAGAAACCTTGAAAAAGACTTGTTTATCTTGCATGAGCTCTAAATCATGTTCTTATTTATCGGTATAGTACTATTATTTGCACTATGTTATTCGGAGTCGTTTCTGCATTCAATTCAAACTTCCCCAAAGTTGTTAAACCAACTATGGACCCAATAATTATGATTCCTCAGGTTCGAACCAACCAACTGGCAGATTATACTAACTTCATTTGATGCCTCAAATAACAAGATCTGCATAACAAACTAGTAACTAATATGAGGTACAAACTCGGTTAAAAAAAATGATCATAAACCACTCGCTATATAATATCCATCTAGCTAGTATTAGAACGGGATACTCATACTCTCTTATGCATTCACTGCACTAGAACACATACAAGTGCCACGACCATACCATTGTTCTATATATGGTAGTGCATGAACACATTTAAATACCCCTATATAATGATCTCATGTACGATAAAGCTGGAACACATTCATATGACCTTACCTAATAATCTAACGTACGATTGTGTTGAAACACATCCATACACCCCCGTATAAATGTTTTACACATTATTACTACTATCACACATGGTGATGCGAAATCTCGTAGAATTGCAAGTATCTCTCAAATATACCGCTACGTAGGCCAATATGTTATATAGGTGATTTGGACGAAATCGGCACAAGATCTCAACAAGCCAATCACGCTCCTCCAAATTAGGATCTCAACTTTCTAAACTAATGTAATAGACTAACCACGAAGTCTCACTTATATTTACCAAATGAATAGTATAAAATTAA